TAAGTATAAGCTTCCACCCTTTGGCACACCACAAGGAAATTATGCATAGGAATATACCTGCCTTCCCTTGCAGCAGACACAAACCACGATGTTAAATGCCTGAGAGTGGACAGCAGAGAAAAGCTGTTTTGCTGGGGGACACCCCATGCTTTGTGCGCTCCTCTCTACTCTGGTGGACAAGCGGGACCGAGTGGGGCTCTGGGCTGTTGCAGGGGGTATGTACAGCCACACCAACAGCTCCTCTTCCTCCTGCACCAGCAGGTACTTGCATTGTACAGTAATCCAGTGCCCTAGAAAAGAACAACCACTGCTACACCCCCCCCCCACACACACACACCCCACACACACCCCTTTTCACATATTCCAGCCTTATTTTTCAAAGGTAGGCATGGTAACACAGCAGGGTGTTGGAGCCAAAGTCACAGGTGTTTTCTGTCCCACCTAGAGTTGACTCCTATTCTTCAGTTAGATCTTCCTTGGTGGACAAACTCTCCTAGACAAGACAAAGACCATCTTCTCCACCTGGAGTCTAAAGTCCTGGCTGAAATCTTATTCCACTGCTTTTGTGTACAGAGACTCAAATTGCTCAGAGAATCAAGGAAAGCTGATGGATATCCATAGGCAGAATCCTATGGATGGATATCCATAGGGCAAGTGCCGGTCAAGCCTTGCTCCAAGGCTGGTGTAGGCTGGGTGTTTGCTTAAACCAGACCTAGCTTCCACCCTGCCATGTTTCCATGAGCCCAGGTGAATAAGCTACTGCAAAGACCGAGGTGGTTGGAGGCAATGCAGCAGGCAGGGGCGAGCTGAGCTGAGGCCTCACAGTGCTTTCCAAGATCCTCCCCAAGCTCTGCTCCACTCCAACACACACCTACAGACACATGAGGTTCACAGGCACTAGAGCATCCAGCTCTTTTAGACTATGGCCTTAATTCCAGCAGCCAGGGACATAAGAAACTGAGTCATCTTGCCACTGAAGCACTAGGGCAGCATCCCTTCCCCAGACTATTTTTGACTTGATTGCTTCATTCTCACCTGGACCCCCTTATGGCATTTACTGGAGAGGTGTATCAGCTATGCTCCCAGAAGCTATTGTTAACTGCAGAGATATCACACCTGCTGGTGTGTAAGAGCTGAAGGGATCAACTCCCCTGCATAGATAGACTACACGTTTGGGCAGGTGCAATGACCCTCTGCTTGCAGAAGGGCAGAGCTAAAACTGCAAACCTGCTCCTGGAAGAGGCTGCCCCTCTGCTTCACATCTGCAGAAAGGTCATCCGAGCTGTCAGCCTGTGAACCAGCAGCATGGGGATGATCCTGAGCTAAAAACTGCAGACAGAGCACATGAAAATGAACAAAAATTTCACGTTCCTGTGCTCCCAAAGGCTGTGTTGCCAAAAGCTGAGAGGGTAGATCAGGCTCCATCAGGGCACACCATATGCAGCAATCGCCCGGCCTTGCAGCACAGAGCCTGCAGTGGCACCTGCATTTGCATCAACAAGGCAGAGGCAGAACAAAACCACTCAGATGTCAAGCAGGAAAGACCACACCAGCTTGGGGAATCCAGCTGCAGGGATGGCAATTTGGTCAACTGCTCCCACCTGCTCACAGCTCTGTGGTCCAAGGAAGGTTGGCAGGGAGCTGGCAGACACCCTGCACAGGGACCAGGACACTCTTTGTCTTCTTGGCCAGTGGTAAGCCCCAGGCAGGGCACAACACCATCATGGTGAAGGGTTTGCCCTACTTGGACCAGAGACTAGCTGAGCTTTGGCCACTGACCTTTCACCATCACAGGGACAGCACGAGAGACCCACCACTCAGAAGGTCTGACCAAACAGCAGCCTGGTTTGTGCAACATGCTCAAAAAACTTTCTTGGACCCACAGAGTTTCCCTCCCGGGTGGGACACACATTTTAGGATGCCCTGCACCCGGCTTCATGACAAAGCCAGTGTTATCAGACCAAGCCATTATCTGATCTCAGCTATTGTGATTTTGTGACAAATCCAGCAGTATTTCTGAGACAGTAGCCACAAAATGCTTTTATTAAACCTAATTAATTAGTGTACCTGCTAAAGTGTGCTCACTCAGAGCTCCACACACATTAATGCCATCAGTTGCTTCAAGCAATCACCTAGTGTTACGCCCCTTGCTCTTGTTATTTTCACAATAGTAATTAAATCCTTATTAACAATTTTCAATTATAAAGTAAATCAAATGTCACAGTCTACATGGGAAATCTCAGCTCATATTCAGGGATACCGAAGACCTTCTGGAAGGAAAAAATTGGGTTAAACACCACAGACAAGCTTCTCTAGTCTGGAGGTCAGCAGAGAGACCTGTCCAGTGGTCTGTTGACAACCACTTACAACCCCTGGCCTAAGCACCGAGCAACATCAAGTCTGTTCATTGCTGGGCACAGGATTGATTTCCCCTGTTTCTGTTCATTTCTTGAACATCTTCTCCCCAGAGCACCCTTTTGTCCAATGTGAAGGTCCTCTGAAGGGAACCTGACATGAATTCTTCTCATCTTTGCCCTGCTTCTGTTGTTAATAAAGCCTGAAGAGCAGATGTTCAACACAAATACTTAATGAGCACCATTCTCAGCCAACAAATCCCACTGACAGCACCTAATCCGGGGGAGCATCACATCTCCTCACCACACTGCCTTTTCACAGCCTGAAGAACCTGTCTCACTGCTGTCCGGGAAACATTCGTCAACCAATGACACAAGTGCCAGAGGCCCCAACTGCCAGTTGAGTGGCCCGTCCATCCCACATGACAACCTCCAAACCCAGTGGGCACCATGGGACGGGGAGCAGATCCTCCCTGGTTGCTCTCAGCCTCAGAGGAGATCCCTTCTGCCCAGACTTCTCCAGCATTTACTGCCTCCACCCCTTCAAATTTCCCCGATAGCAAACCAACCCTGTCGCTCTGACAGTGAAACCATGAGGGGTGGATAAAAAAAGCACTCATAAATCCTTTCTCACTCTGGAAATCAACTGGGTTTCTCTTCCTGGAGGTACTAACATAGCAAATCTACAGCCGCTCCCAGTCCTCCACCCCAGCACTTCTCTGAACTTTCCCCAAACCTTTCCCACATGAATCAATCTGAAGACAAAGCTGGCAAAGCCTTCCAGCCCCCACCAACCACTTCCACCACCATGCCATCAGGTCCCATTTCTGTGCTTGTCTCCAGGTGCACCAGGAGAGCAGCTCCCAGCACATCCACCGGGAGAGGGGCTGCTCGAGTGACCTCCTGTGCTTAGCTGGAGTGAGTCTATCAGCTGTACAGCTGCCCAGCTTCTCCTGGAGCAGCATGGAGTGACTCTGCTCAGCACTGTTCATTTTATTCTAGGCTTGCAAGGTTTGGAGATTGGTTCAGATAAGCATCCTCAAGCTTGCACATTTATCTGCACCATCTCCCAAACAGCTTTGATCTGCAGCATTTGGCTGCAGCTCTCAAAGTTATCTTGAGAAAGCTTGTTCTGGGGAGAGTCATTCTTGTGATTAACAAGAAAAAGCTTTCTTAGTAGCTTTGAGCATTTCCAGCCCTGGCTGCAGCCAGGGAGTGCAGCAATGTCTGCACACAGAAAGAAGGGGAAAGCCAAGTGAGCTCCTCCTTAAAACTTCACTTGGGCCCAGTTGTCATTTCAGCTAAAATCTGAGGTCCGTTATTTCAGCTTGCTTTTTTCCCCCACTTTCTGTTTATGGGTCACTTTACATCATCCATGTCCTATGCAGAACTCCCAGGAGAAAACCTGGCTGGGCTGACCAGGGAAGCAAGTCACTTGATGGGCTGGGAGGACCAGGGGAAAGGATTTGTCCAGTTGAGGGCAAGTTTTAAAAGGCACAATATTGAATTCAACAGCTGAAACCAACAGCCCCTCTAAAACCCCTAATGAAGGAAACGAGCCGCACGTAAGGACGTGTTAATGGAGTCAGATGCTCATTTTCCAGTTCACCTTCTGCTTGGCCAAACATTAGGAAATATTGGTTGGACCGAAAAGTGTCAAATGTAAGTCCTGCTCTTTAAACACCCCAGCGAGGATCCTGCCATGCTCAGCCCACCTTCACCCCATGCAAGACCTCTTCCTTGTGAGAACAACCAGGGAGGAAGATGGTATTAAGTAACAGGAGGACGTACAGAATTAGCAATGGAGTTTGTAGCAGGGAAACTACCCTGAACATATCCTGCTGCCCTCACGTAAAAGATAAATACACATTAAAACAACCACTACTCAGGGAGGGGAAAGAAGTGTGAACAGCAAAAATATGTACATGTGTTTTAAATAATTCTTTTTAATTGTTGAGGCAGTAATACTTGGTTCATGGAACTGCAATATACAGAGAGGTGAAATAAATAGCTTATATATATATAATATATATAATATAGCTGGTTTTAAAATATTCCCTTATCATTGGTGTACTAGGTCATCTTGTAGTCACTTGAATGTATTTAGCAGCATTCTCCAGAACTGAGCATAATGCAGGATCACAGAGCCGTGACACCTTATGTCGTCAGGAAGGTTACAGAAGATCCATGCGTCGAGAACTCCACAGAAACTCACTCACTGCAGCACACACCATCTTGTCTTGGGCCAGCGGGCAGCAGACAATAAATAGATTACTGCAAAACCGGCACTTTTTGGGGCAGGGTCTCAGTAACTTTGGGAAAGAACTTTGGTTTTCTTTGGTTTTATTTATTTATTTTTAATAATTACTTTTTTTTTTCCCTCTGGGGATATGCTTGAAAAGTTGTCCTTTCCAAAGAGCGAAATAAGCACCTGTGTGTCATCAACAACAAGAAGTCAATTTAAATAGAGCAGTTCATTTCGTTTTTCAAGTCACAATAAATCCCGGACAGCTTTCCCCAGCATTTGTCATCTAGTCTTTTATTAATTTTTTTTATTTTTATTTTTTTTTAAACACAATGTACAAAAATAGAGCTTCTTCCTTATTTTTAATGTAAAAATATTCCTCTGGTGCAGTTTTTTTTTTCTTTTTGTGGTTTCTTATTGTGACACTGTTTTTAATCTATTTTTAACTGGGGTTGGTGGGTCGTATTCTCTTAGTCCTCTTGGTGACTGTTGTGTACTTGAAAGGTTTCTGTATCTCCACTTGCCCCTTTGGGTATCTCTTCATAAAATGTACATCTTGCTGGTTTTCCCGGGTTTTGGGCCCTTTCCGCGGCCTCCCTTTTTTGGTGAATCCAACATACCAGCCTGAATATTTTGCAGACATCAGCGCCGTGTAGTTGTTTTCTAGGACTTTTTCAATGAAAACACACTCCTTACTGGTGCCATCAGGCTGGAAAAGGAAAAAAACAAGAAAAGAAAAAATTAATTATCCAAATGCAAGCTCAGTGACCAAAACCCAATTTGAGACAATAAAATCATCACATCTGGACCTCTTTTTTTGGTTCAAACATTGTTAATAGGAGTTGTAACAAGCATCAACTGAAATAGACTTTTTTTTTTTTTTTGAAACATGAAAGCATGAGGTCATCAGTTCTTTTTTTTTTTAAATACTCTTATGCAAGGAGACAAAGATTTTTCAAAGACAACAATTAAGTTTATCCAGTCCAGCTCCTTCACCTGCAAGGAAAGCAAGACATGTAGCTTTGCTTTTTCTCATTAGGTAAAGAGGATGAATTGAACTCATGCCAGGGAAACATCACAATCAGCAAAAAACAAACCCCAGAATGTCCTATGGCCCAAACAACAGCGTTTCCCTTTCTACCACTTACTTCTGGTATGTTTTCAAAAATGCCTCATGGGCTTGCACCCATAACTACCCAGATCCCACTAAGATCATTACAAGCTTTAGTTTAAGCCTTCACAGCACCTTGAAAACTCTCTCCCACCACATCCCAGGGTGACACCAGGCAGATGGACCACCCGTGGTGCTCAAGGGTGAGCCAGAGGGGTGATAGAGGCATTGAGGTTCCCGACCCCACTCCAGCTCTTGGGACCCTGGATAGCCCTGAAGTCAGTGGTTATTTTGGAGACTCTGCACACCCTAGGCTTGGCTCTGACTCACAACCCAGAGCGACACCAGCAGGGGAAGGGGCTGTTCCCACACTGGAACAGTTCCTAGATGAGAAGGCATCCCACTGGCATCCTAATGTGCCTGTGGCTGCAGGACCGCATGGCAGCAGCATTCTCAGCCACCAGACCCACCCCAGCTCCACTGCCAGAGAGTGGGATATGCCAGTACCTGATTTACACCTCTTGTGTCACAGGGTAGGTTTCTGTTCGGAAGAGGGTTTCATTGCTTGTTGCACATGGGACACGATCCCTCCTCTTTCCCAATGTTTCAATCTCAGACTGAAAACTGCCACCCAAAGCTCCAGGAGCGGGCTTAGGAAGCCACATCCCTAAAGCACTTTCCTCCTCGCAGAGGGAGACAGGATTAGCACTGAGCTTCTGAGCATCACTGCTGCTCCCCAGCCGCCCCACAGCTGGGACTCCTTTCCCCATGGAGCCACTGATTAGAGATTTTGGCAAACTGGGCTCAGTTCAGCTTGAAAATCAACACTAATAGACCTAGAACTGGGCTTTGAATGCAGCAGAATGGATCTCTGCCTTTGGAACTCTCACTTACACAGTGTATGCAGCATTGGAGGGAATCACAGCATCACACAACAGCATCTTCAAGTCCTTCAGCACAGAGGAAATTCTTCTCACCCATAACCTTCTGTCAGAAAACATATTTTGCCCTTTAACTGCTGAGTTACTCGTGCTGCACCTAGAATTTCACATGTTGTCATGTGCACCAGTACTTTGGTTTATACATGAAAAGACATCAGGGAGTAGATATGGCGTAACTGTGATATGGACCATCATACAGGACTTATCTAATGCTCAGCAAAGCCAAAGGAAGATTTCCATCATAATATTAGCCCAAGACAGTTCCCCACTGGTCACAGAATCGCAGAACATGCCAAGTTGGAAGGGACCCACAAGGATCATCCAGTCCAACTCCTGGCCCTGCACAGGTCCATCCTCAAGAGTTACACCCTATGTCCAAGAGTATTGTCCAAGTCAATTAGTTTTTCAGTACTGCAGGCATACATATGCTACTATTAAACTCTCTCCACCCAAATAGTATCAGACCCTCTCAGTCTTCAGTCATTTCAATTGTCATGCCCCAGGGCACACAGAACAGCCATAGCAGCATGACCAGCTCAGCCCCTGAGCTATGGCTGGTCTCAGGCTCTGATCAGGGGTTCCTCTGGGCACAGAGCTGAGCCCTGCATCTCTTTCCCAAGGACAGATCAGCCTGCTCTTCCAGAGAAGCCTTCCTAAAGAGTCCTGCACAATCACAGTGGAGTTTGGTGCAGTTTGTGGGAAGGGCAGGGGATCACGAGACAGGAGGGAAACCATGCTGCCATGCTGCTCAGGCTTCCCTGCACCCCGATCCCCAAAAAACTGTGCATGAGCTACAAACAGAGCTGCACGATGGGAACCATTGGGCACGATGACCCAGGCTGGAGTCACACAGGCAGCAACAGAGGATGGCTGGTCATCAGCAGCCCCCAGGACGAGCCATTCCTCCATGACTTAATGCCTTTAGCAGAGCTTCAATTCCATCCGTGCAACATGTGATGTTTGCCCTAAAGCCAGTAATGCACATCCTGCCCAAAGGGTTTCATTACCAGGGTAGGTTTCATTAAGAGGGCAAAGGAAATTCTGGCAGCTTTTGCAACAACTATGCTAATGCAGAGTCTGTACAGGGGCTCTGCCATAGGACCAGCAGTCTCCATCCCAGACAGGCACAAAGGTCCTCATTTTACCATCCACAACTGGAAGCTCACAAACACTTTAATGAACGGCAGAACTGGGCAAAGCTCAGTGGTTCCAGTTCCGGGGGGGGTCATTCTCCAAGTCCTGGGTTTGATCAAAGCCACATGAGTGGGAAAGGGGGAAATCAGTCGACACCACAGGGTTCCACAGGTTTCAATGGGAAGCCATAAAACCAGCCTCAGGTTTCTCAGGGCTCAGCCCACTACAAACCCTTCCCCAATGAGTGGAGAATTTTTAAACAATAACGTGGCTGAGATTCAAATCCACTCAAACCCAGGTGCTGGTGAACTGACCGGATCCATACCACAGAGGGAGCAGGTAATTGGAAGGGCTGTACCCCCATGCTCATGGAAAGGGACTGGACTTGAGCCCTGACCTTGTTGCTAAGAGAATTAAGGCTTTTTCAAGCAATTTGGGAGGTTTCTGCTTGTACTGCAATGTCAGTTTCTCATGAAAAACGAAGACTGGAATGAAAAGAAAACATATGTAGAAGGGGAAACTTATTCTACTGATAACAAAAAAGTATTTACTTATACCTTCAAATTTGCCGACAGAGCCTAAGACGGAGACAGGAGGTGGAAGAATAACGAGGTGCAACTTCAGGCCAACCTCAGGGCTAATTTGAAGTAAACAAGGTGCATGAGATAAAATAACTTTGTTCTGGAAGAGGAAGAGCTAAATGATTTGATAACATGAAATTGCAGTAACATTTACAAGCACCTTGAGATAAATCAGGATAAGGGCCTCACTTCCCCAAACAGAGCATTCCTGTATGTGCTAAGACACGCCAGAGACAGACAAATGATTTTCAAACACTTAGAAGATAATTTTAGAGCATCTGTTATAATCCCCAATAGAATAAATCATTCGCACATGTTACCTACACCACAAAGATCTGGACCCACAGCAATCTGTTAGGGGAAAAATTGATTTATAAGGGTTTTCAATACTTTTTAATCATCAGGTGTCCATCACAAAATTTTATCATGTCCCTATTTAAGCCATAGCCAAATCACTGCTTGGGTCTGTCAGTCATCTCCTCACTCCTCCAAAGAGAAGGGGGTGGAAGAGAAAAGAGAGACAGCTTTGGCCAAGCATCACTCCCTGCTCCAGCCACAGGCTCACCCTTCCCCAGCAGCTCCCAGTGCAAATGATCCAGGGCTGCACCCTCCATCACCGACGTCAGCCAGGAGCTGCTGCCAAGATGCATTTCATACATATCGTGCTGGCAAGGATGCACCTTGCAGAGCACTCGCCCTTCAAAACATGGAGCTTTATGTTTTGAACCAATTCTTTACAACAAAGTTCTTGAAAGCCTCAGAGCTGCACAGGAGCCATCTGGCCCAGTGGCCTGGCCATAGGATGGAAGAGGACCCACAGCCAGTCCCACATGCCCACATCCTCGCAGGGCAGGCACAAGAGCTTCGCAGCCCCAGCTCCCTGCTCAGAGCAGACACAGAGCAGAGGCACAGCCCTGCTCCTGTGAAGGGTATGGGCTCTTTGCAGGTCAACACCTCCTGGCACCTGTGACGAGCCGCCACCAAACTGCCAATTTTGCCCCCAGAGGCTGCTGCCTGGCCACATGATGAGGCCACACCTCCACAGAGCTGACACCTTGCAGATCAGTTCTTTGCAGATAAATAATTCGGAGCATATTTAGTTTAAACACACCTCTACCACTCATGGGAAGATGTGGTATCTGTTAGCCAAATTTCTGATAAATTACTTATAAATGCCTGATCTAAATGTCACCTTCCACAGACACGTCTGGGACATCACCCAGGTCTGCGCAGAGGCAAGAAAAGCACAGCCTGAGCAGCATGAAGTGCTGGCTTCCATCTCTGGAATAACAGCTGGGGAGCAGCCCCAGTGGCAGTGAGCCACTGCCCAGTGCCAAGGCAGCAGACTTGAGTAGTCCCAGTCTTTTTATTGAGCAGGGTTAGAACAACAGCAGCCACCCAAGGCTCACCCTCCAGTAAAGGGTATCTCAAGTCTTTCTACACCATGGACCAACCCCACCCCGTGCGCAACAGAAGCACAGCCAAAGGAGCCACACTGGAGCCAGGGGCTCTCTGAGCACCCTGAGCTTACCAGGGAGCAGCCTCAGATTGTTTGTGCAGAGCATTTGGCGACAGGCTCTCCAGTCTTAAACGTGAAACATGTTGAACTGACACTAAAGCAGAATTAAGTGCCAAAGCATTTGCTACTTCTACAATTACACTCCAGAGCGCTTTGGTGCTCCTGCTCTCTTTTTTATGACCCAACTTGGTCTTATTGTAGTTTGGCTTTCTCGTTTTAAGTTCTCCAAATGGAAAGGATCAAAGAGCTCTTTGTTGTCGTAGCAGGAGCGCTCCTCGGAGCGAGGCATTCCTGCCACGAACAGCTTGCTGCTCAGGGGGAATTTGCGGCAGCCTCTGTGCCACCAGCCTGAGCCAAAGCATTAGCAGGTGCAGCAGCCGCCTCCGCCTTCCCCCATTAGCCTGCCATACTAAGCCACCTGAG